AGTATAATAGTTAAACGAACTGCCTAAACATGGCTGGAGACGGCTTAAATGGGTAATGAAGAAAAACTTTAATGTAAGTTTAACATGACAGCAAATGTACAACGTTTCGACAAGTTTTTGTCATGATGATGATGACAAAACTTTGTCGAAACGTTGTACATTTGCTGTCATGTTAAACTTATATTAAAGTTTTTCTTCATTACCCATTTAAGCCGTCTCCAGCCATTATTAATCTCTTATAATGATACATTTCTAGCGTTTTGGTATACACACGCAAATATAATATTGGCTGAAATAAAGTTTTGTATGATGGAGTTATCTATTAAGTGTTACTCTATTTTTTTATGAAAAGAGACGTGTTAGAAATCACTTGCTAAATACTTGTTGCAATGCATGCTTTGGTAAACTCCGAGAGAGGCGATATTAGAGAAGAGTACTGCCGTGTCATAGCGGAGCACTGTCGATGACGCGATGTTAAAACCGACGGTTAGGATCTAACAAGTTAAACTACGATCATAACATCGTTTGTACACGTATTAAAATGACGACTTCATTCTATATTAACTCAGAGGATGCAAAGCTATAGTCCGCGGTCCAAAAGAGAGATGAATCACCTTGATGGGAGGTCCTAACACCAATTTTGTAATAGGAATCATAAAGAGAGATGAAGCACCATGATGGGAGGTCCTAACACCAACTTTGTAATAGGTATCATAAAGAGAGATGAAGCACCTTGATGGAAGGTCCTAACACCAACTTTGTAATAGGAATCATAAAGAGAGAAAGCACCTTAATTGAAGGTCCTAACACCAACTATGTAGAATGAATCATAAAGAGAGATGAAGCACCTTAATGGAAGGTCCTAACACCAACTATGCAGAATGAATCATAAAGAGAGATGAAGCACCTTAATGGAAGGTCCTAACACCAACTATGTAGAATGAATCATAAAGAGAGAGAAAGCACCTTGAGGGAAGGTCCTAACACCAACTTTGTAATAGGAATCATAAAGAGAGAGTTGAGCTCTAATTATAAGTTCATAAGAGTTTATCTTTATGATTGAATCCTCCGGTATGTAGTTCATTTTTCTATACTACTTAAGTTATTCTGAATACATTTCTATAGTTCAAATGTTTCTTTATTGTATACGTATTTTACTTTATTACCTGGAATGCAATTTTTTCTTTTCACATTTTCAGGATATGGTAACATAGCTCCCAGTACTACTGCAGGAAGAGCAGCTACCATTGTGTACGCTTTCATCGGAATCCCACTGCTGCTAATGGTGCTTGCGGACTTGGGCAAACTCTTCACTCGAGCCATTAAGTTTCTCTTCTTTTTCATTCGCCAATTCTACTATACGGGAAAATGTCGAAAGATGCGAAGAGCCGGAAGAAGAGCAACAGCTGTTCCGGTCCAGGTATCACATGTAATGATGTTATCAGTCGAGAGAGAACACACAATAACGTTAATGTACGAAACTACACGTATCACACAGTGGAATGTAGGTAGTTATCAGTGGAGAGAGAACACACAATAACGTTAATGTACGAAACTACACGTATCACACAGTGGAATGTAGGTAGTTATCAGTGGAGAGAGAACACACAATAACGTTAATGTACGAAACTACACGTATCACACAGTGGAATGTAGGTAGTTATCAGTCGAGAGAGAACACACAATAACGTTAACGTACGAAACTACACGTATCACACAGTGGAATGTAGGTAGTATCTGGTTAGAGTGTGGAAGCACTCATTTTTCACAACCATTATATTTAAGGTTCTATGAATAGGGAAGTGACTTGCTTTAAGGCTATTCTAAACATGTTAGACCATTTAGTCCTTAGTTTTGCTTTCGTATCCCAATGTAAAGGTAAATATTCTTCCTCTTATAGTTTGATTCATTAAATAACGTTATATTATACTTGAATGTGATTGTGTATATTTTCAAGTACAAGAGGAAAATGAATTGCTGATTAAAAACAAGAGAATTAACATCGTTTACTGTAACTAAGGTATTATCTCTTTAGCGATAACGATTTTAAAGCTTGTCGACGACGTGTTTTGACTACAAACAAATTTTTCTATATCCATAATCACCTTTACTTTAACATTCTAGCATCAGCTTTTGGTGTTTTCAACCTAAACGGCACCTTATGCACTAAATGGGTCAAATGGCCAGATCAGAGCCCAAGTTTTAGGTATAAACATTCCTTATTTAGAACTGCTGACTAGAAAGATGGCACCAGGCTCATGTAGCTTTCACAGCAAATCTTGTACAAATAGCGGTATTAAATAGCGGAGCATGTTAAGTTACATTTCACGGGCTCGAGCCTTGTATATTCTGGTCCGCAGCCTGGTGGCACTCTAACTAGGCAGCACCAGTCTTACATCCTACACCAATCCATTATTTCTGTATCGCTAAAAATAATTCACAGAACAAAATTTTTTCAACCAATAATAAAAAATAGAATGTTTTCTCAATGTGGTGAAACTTCGGAATAACAAAAAATCATGTATACATTCATACATGTCATATAAAAATCGATAGATATTTTATCGTTATTGATTATTGTTAGTAAGAAAAAGCTTTCTCTTGACAATTAAAATCAAAGGTTCCACTATTTTTTTATATTCACTGATGAACGTGTATATATACTTTTACTATGTTTTAATATCTAAAATATTTACAAAATGTACACTTGAAGATGAATTTAGAATTAGTTTAATGTTATAGATTTGAGAAGTTTTTTTTTGAACCTTCGAAATTTATCATCAGTGTCTCCTCCCTGTACAGTTCGTACTTTTGTTTTCTTCTTTACTGAAAAACATTCGAAATCCTTAAAAGCTGTTGTTAATTAGCTATAGAAAATAAAAGAGGAAATATGCCTACTTCTGAATTTTTTTTAATGCGAAAATTGTCAGTGAACTAGAAGGAGTAGCAAAATGATTCCTATTACAAAGTTGGTGTTAGGATCTCCCATCAAGGTGCTTCATCTCTCTTTATGATTTCTATTACAAAATTGGTCTTAAGACCTCCCATCAAGGTGTTTCATATCTCCTTATGATTTCTATTACAAAGTTGGTGTTAGGACCTCCCTTCAAGGTGCTTCATCTCTCTTTATGATTCCTATTAAAAAGTTGGTGTTTTAATGACCTCCCTTCAAGGTGCTACATCTCTCTTTATGATTCCTATTAGAAAGTTGGTGTTAGGACTTCCTTTCAAGGTACTTCAATCTATCAGTACTACCTGCTAGTGACACAATATCTATCTTATAATTAGAGCTCAACATCTATCAGTACTACCTGCTAGTGACACAATATCTATCTTATAATCAGAAACTCAACATCTATCAGTACTATCTGCTAGTGACACAATATCTATCTTATAATTAGAGCTCAACATCTATCAGTACTACCTGCTAATGACACCATATCTATCTTATAACAAGTAGGTAATATCGATGGATGTTGAGCTTCTAATAATATAATATATATTGTGTCACAAGCAGGTAGTACTGATAGATGTTGAGCTTCTGATAATATAATATATATTGTGTCACAAGCAGGAAGTACTGATAGATGTTGAGCTTCTGATAATATAATAGATATTGTGTCACTAGTAGGTAATATCGATGGATGTTGAGCTTACGATTATATAATAGATATTGTATCACAAGCAGGTAGAACTGATAGATGTTGAGCTTCTAAATATATATTAGATATTATGTCACTAGTAGGTAATATCGATGGATGTTGAGCTTCTGATTATAAAATATATATTGTGTCACTATCAGGCAGTACTGATAGATGTTGAGCTTCTGATTATGTAATAGATATTGTGTCACTAAGAGGTAGTACTGATAGATGTTTAGGTTCTGATTATATAATAGATATTGTGTCACTAGCAGACAGTACTGATAGATGTTGAGCTTCCGATTATAAGACAGATATTGTGTCACTAGCAGGTAGTACTTATAGATGTTGAGCTTCTGATTATAAGATAGATATTGTGTCACTAACAGGCAGTACTGATAGATGTAGATCTCTCATTACAGGATAGATATGTGTCATTAGCAGGTAGTACTGATAGATGTTGAGCTTCTGATTATAAGATAGATATTGTGTCACTAGCAGGTAGTACTGATAGATGTTGAGCTCTAATTGTAAGATAGATATTTTGTCACTAGCAGGTAGTACTGATAGATGTTGAGCTTCTGATTATAAGATAGATATGGTGTCATTAGCAGGTAGTACTGATAGATGTTGAGCTTCTGATTATAAGATAGATATGGTGTCATTAGCAGGTAGTGATGATAGATGTTGAGCTTCTGACAACATATTGTCAGAATAAACATTGATGTGTCGGGTTGTAATTTATAAACTAAAAATTCAACAACATCACAGTGTTCGACATTTATTTGCATCTTCGTATCTTGGTATATAACTAATGTTCCTAGAATTAAACTAGTGACTTGTAGATATTCCAACAGATTTAATAGTCCTGTAAAAACACTCAGAAAATAACTCCTAATACGATAAAATGTGTTCTAGAAGCTTCTGCTTACGAGTTAAGGAATAGAATGATACAACTATTCATTCGTTTGTAAAAGCAAAGGACAAAACACTGGTCAGTCGTTACGCAGTTGGCAGTACTCAAGAAGGAATAGCTCAAGAAATATATTATATCAATGGAAATTAGGGACTGACAAAAAAAAACAGTTTTTAATAGAAAACAAGGAAAACGATAGCTAGCTGTAGAAATCACGCAAAATGGCAGATAAAAAATGGAAGACCAGTGAAGTGATAGAGTAATCACCTTGAAAGATATTAACGTCAAAAATCACCCAAATATCAGTTTATCACTTCTAACTTTTTCTTAGTTATGAAGTGCTTCTGAATTATTTAATTTAAAGAATCGTTTCTCAACAGTTAGGGAGTGATTCACCGACACAGGTTTTCTCACTGAAGGTTGTAGGTTGCACTCGAGTCTAACAGTTGTTCATGGTTCGTTATTCGAGATCAAAACGAATATGGCAAGTAGGTACTGTCTTCCAGGTGACAAACAAACTGAAAGAGTCACGCAAGACGAGATCTGTTTCTGTTTCACGAAAAAGTAAAAATAACACTTAAAGCCACGAAAGGATAAAAATACATTTCGCGAAAGAGGCATTTTTTCTAGTAAATTTCCTTTAAAATTTATTTGCTTTGAAAATGAGAAAGACATAAGATAAAAATTAAAATTTGTTTTGAAATAGGATCTAAAGAAAATACATAATATGTTGAAATTTATATGGTAATATTGAATATTGGATGAACTACTTATTTTACTTAAACGCCTTAAATTTCATCCAAACATATTCAATAATTTAAACATATAGGTTATTATTAACGTAACTTTTAATAACTTGTGTAACATAGACGGTAAATTTCATATTTCTCTTTGTGCCTGCATTAAGAATTACTTTCTCAAAATCTTAGTTATATAACAATAAAAATAGATATTGTATCACTAGCAGGTAATATCGATGGATGTTGAGCTTCTGATAATATAATATATATTGTGTCACAACAGGTAGTACTGATAGATGTTGAGCTTTGATAATATAATATATATTGTGTCACAAGCAGGTAATATCGATGGATGTTGAGCTTCTGATAATATAATATATATTGTGTCACTAGCAGGTAGTACTGATAGATGTTGAGCTTCTGATAATATAATATATATTGTGTCACAAGTAGGTAATATCGATGGATGTTGAGCTTCTGATAATATAATATATATTGTGTCATGTGTGTATTAATTTGGAGATACCATATGTATTTTTAAAGAGAACAAGTCCGACATTAAATGTCAGGTTACTATGATATTAAAAAATTTTATATATATACTGAAAATCACACTGAGAAACTGTACAGTAAAACATTGCGGAATTGGAAGTCATTTCATATATACTGAAAATCAAAATTAAGTACATTAAAATTCCACCACGCAAAATTTATGTTTTCTACCTTCAAAGACTCTTTCGACTCAAATATGATCCAGGTTCATAACGTTTTACTTGATTAGGCGTATATCTCAAAGCATTGGTTTATTTGATTTGTGTTATTAGAGTTTTACGAAACAAGTTACCTACCTACTGAGCAGCACATGGTATATTTCATGTTTTCAAAATTCACTTTATAAACTGTCCCTCTTCAAAATAGTACTTCGTATGTCTTATGTTATCAAAATGGTTACTGAATTAGTTATCTGTCTTTAAAATATACTTGAAATGTACCTTATTTCGAACATTCTATTTAAAAACACTTCAGGTCAAATCTGTTTTTTTTAATAAACTCGTTACTCTCACAGCTCTCGTAATATGCCTTCTAATGACAAAATATTTTTCTGATCCTGGCTTTACTTGCAATGTCTTCTGTGGCCAAAGTTTTGGAAGACAAATGTCCTTTCGTGAAAGCTTTAATTCTAATGTATTCTGTCCCAAAGCTTGTTTGATACGGCTCAATATGTTTAAACATAGAAATATTTGTGATCAGTAAACTGGAATGGACGGAAACTGTCTGTCGTAGAAATACGAGTGTAGAGGACGACGTTTCAAAAGTCTCCCGTCTTCCGTCTTTGGAAGACTTTCGAAATGTCGTCCTCTACACTTGTGTTTCTACAACAGGCAATTGTCGTTC